GGATTTATTTATAGTATGAGACTTATGGACTTGACTGGACAGGGTGGGATGTTTGCCCGATATGTAATTAATTACTTCATGATATAAAGCTCTCTCTTACATATAAATGATTGTCAATTGATTGTTTCCCTAGGAAACCTGGCCTAACACACATGTGATATCAGTGATATTGTTCTACAGTTTAAGCATTCTGTTGTCGGTCATTTTTTTATACTGTGACACTTTATGTGTTTCTGTTATGCTGGAAGCTGTGTCACTGGTCTTTCAAATTCCACATAAAGTGAACAGGTTTTTGCAGTGTTCTGACTAAGAACAAAGAAGGACTCCATACCCTACTTCCGAAAAAAAGAGCTAGGGAAAATCTTGTCCATAATTTCAAGACATTGTCAGGTTTAATGTAATGGGAATCCCTGGGGTGTGGCTTGCAATACTTTGTATCTTTCAAGGGATAAAAAGAGAGGGAAAAGACTTACTCCTACCAAGAAAACAAGCCTGGAGCAAAGTATAACTTTTGAATACAAGTAGCTTTTCTGGGAGTCTCTTAGTATCAAGAGAAGATTCACGCCAAGTCTCCAAGGAATATCAGTCCGATAGGTTCTGAAAAGAGAAAATGACCTTCCTCCTAAATTGTGAGTCAACAAAGAGAGGGGAAAGAGAGAGAGCACAGACACTTCCCCTGGAGCTCACTTTGGACTTCTAGCCTCAAAACTGTGAGAGAATTTATTTCTACTTATTCAATTCATGTACTTGTGGTATTTCTGTTACAGCAGCACTTAACAACCAAGGCAGAGTCCACACCTCTGAGTGACTGTCAATCAGAGTTCTACTACCAGTTTCCTCAAGGCAATGGAAGATTTTACTATTATGTAACTTAAAACGCTTTAGGCTTCTCCCATTACCGAATCCCAAAACAACTTCCACATTTTACGTAAGTTTAAAAGTATGCTTACAGGTACGCACCCCACTTTTCTCTAACCATATTCAGTAACAAAAGTCTTAGTTACTTAGTGGGTGGTTTCAACAAACAGAAAATTTTCTCACCTTTTGGGAAGCTAAAAGTGAAAATTCTGAGCACCACCTGGAAGGGAGGATTTTCTCTTTCTGTTGGCTCTGAAGAAAAGTTCTTTCTCTCTGAGGGTCTGTTCCCAGGCAATCTTTATGTGCTTTGGCATTTCTCATTTCTCATCTGCTTGGATGCTTAATGTCTTTTATATCTCAAAAAATAGTGACTCAAGACACAACCTACAGTAATACTACTAATTAATATAAATGAGGAAACTCATTCCCAAAAGATTATAATCACAAATATAGAGGTTACAACATTTATTTTTGCTTGTTGTTCAATCTAACAGCAGGTTCAAAACAATATTCCTAGCATCTAACAATGTTATTTAATAAACTTGTATGTGTGAAATTCAGGCAACCTTTAAAACTAAAATATCTTAAAGCAAAAAAATGTTCCAGGAATCTCGCATGCATTTCTATTTTAATGCTTATTTGACAAGCTAGTACAAGTAGTCATATTCATGTGCTATAAAAATGTGCTGGTTTCTTCCTACACTATTTGATAAACTAGAGAGGCATGCCAACATGTCTTCCTTCTCACTGCAATGCAATATTAGACATGCCTTCTAATTTAATAGCTCCTGTCAGTTATATATATATGATCAGTGTTCACCATTTCCCTGTTTTCACAATTATATCTTCACACAAATATTTCTCCATAGAAATACTTCAAAATGGATACTAAATGTGTTAGTAGACAAAAACTGATTTAAAATGCCTCCTAATCCCATTATGTGTCCATGTTTATAGAGAAAAAGAGAAGCAATTACTTAGGATCATTTCTGACTTATAGTGACCCTGTATTGGATTTTTGTAACTGTAAATCTTTAAGGGAACAGACAGCCTCATATTTCTCCAGATGAACAACCGTTGGGTTTGAACTACTGACTTCGGGGTTAGCTGCTCAATGTCTAACACACAGCCATCACGGGCCCTTACAAACTAATTAGTTTCTGACTAATAATATTTTTTATTTAATACATTTTTTCATAATCCAGTGTGTGATGCAATACATTTCTTTCTTTTTATTCTTACTCCATTATGATCTATGAGTTTTTCTAAGGATATTTATAAAAGTTTCTAATGCCATTTTGATAGTTAAGGTTTTGTGTCAACTTGACTGGGCCATAATTTCAGTGGTTTTGCAGTTGTTATTGTTAAGTGGTATTGAATTCACTGTTGCAGTTGCTGTTATTGTTGTTAGGTGCCATCACATCAGCTCCAACCCATAGACACCCATGCACAACAAAACAAAACACTTCGTGATCCTGTGCCATGCTCACAATTATTTCTATACTGGAGCCCACTGAAGCAGCCACTCTGAAAATCTATCTCTTTGAGGGCTTTCATTTTGTTTGCCACACACCTCCACTTTACCAGACATGATGTCCTTCTCCAAGGCCTGGTCTGTCCTGACAATATGGTCAGATTATATAATACAAAGTCTTCCCCTCCTTGCCTCTAAGGAACACTCTGGCCTTATTTCTTCTATACAGATCAGTTTTTCCTTTTATCAGTCCATGGTATTTTAAATATTCTTCTCCAGCACCACAATTCAAATGCATAGATTTTTCTATAATTTTCCTAATTTGATGTCCAATTTTCACATGCATGTGATGCAATGGAGAATACCATGGCTTGGGTATTAGTCCCCGAAGTAACATCCTTGTTCTCCAATACTCTAAAGAGGTCTTGTGTAGCAAATTTACCTAATACAATACATCTTTTGCTCTCTTGACTGCTGCTTCCTTGAGCATTGATTGTGGATCCAAGAAAGGCAAAATCCTTGACAACTTCAAACTTTTCTCCATTTATCACGATGTTACCTAGTCGTCTAATTGGGAGGATTTTCATCTTCCTTACATTGAGTTATAATCCATACTGAAGGCTACAATCCTTGATATTCATCAGCAAGTACTTAAATTCCTCCTCACTTTCAGTAAGATGTATCATTTGTGTACCGCAGATTTTCAATGAACCTTTCTTCAATGCCTCACTCATTGTAAGTTGTTCCCAACTCATAATGACTTTATGTAGAGAATAATAAAACATCACCCAGTCCTGCACCATCCTGACAATTGTTGTTATATTTGAGTCCATTGATGCAACCACTGTAACAATACATCTCATTGCGAGTCTGCCTCTTTTTCGCCACTTTCCGCTTTACCAAGCATTATATTCACTCCAGGAATTTCTATCTCCTGATAACACATCTAATATACATAAGATGAAAACTTGCCATCTTTGCTTCCAAGGAGGATTCTGACGGTACTTTGTCTGAGCCAGATTTGTTTTCTCTTTTGACATACTTTCATCTTCATCAGCACCACAATTAAAATATATCAATTCATCTCTGGCCTTCCTTATTCATTGTTAACCTTTCGCAAACATATGAAGAAATTGAAAATATCATTTCTTGGGTCAGGAGCACCTTTGTCTTCAACCTGACAGTTTTGCTTTTCAACACAAGAGGTCCTGTGCAGCGGATTTGCCCAATATAATACATTTTGAGTTCTTGATTGCTGTTTTTATGAGCATTGATTGTTGACCCAAGTAAAATTAAATCTTTGGCAACTTCAATCTTCTCTGATTGTAATTATATTGTGTTGGTCCAGTTGTGAAGATTTTTGTTTTCTTTAAGCCATACTGAAGGATCTAGTCCTTTACCTTCATTAGCAAAGTGCTTCAAGTCCTCCGCTGAATATTACATGTTGTTAATGGTCCTCCCTGCAGTGTTTTTTTTTTTTTTATATAGTTTCAGATTCTTTGCTCAGCAAACAGATTGAAGAAACTTGGTGAATGGGTACAACTGTGACACACACCTTTCCTAATTTCAAACCATGTGCCATTCCCTTATTCTGTTTGAAAGACTGCCTTTTGGTACATGTAGGGGTTATGTATGAGCACAATGAATTGATAATTAAGACATAGTAGTCATCCCCATTATTAGTTCCCCTGAGGTTGTGGCCTGCATCCAAATAAATGGATGCTATGGAAAACCTTGCTTGATTTTTGCTGCATCTGAATATAGCATCTGGCTTATCGTGAGATCTCTAGTTCTTTGGACTGCTGTATTGCCTGCCATATACTGACCTGCTGACCTTAGATTCATCATTCTCTGCAGTTACCTGAGTCAAAAGAAACCTCCAGCCTTACATGAAACCCTTGGACTTTGAACTTTTCCATGTCTACCACTGAGTCATTGCCCTAGTATAATCTTCTCTATATAAATGTGTGTTTTGCTTCTCTAGATAACCCAGCCAAAGACAATCCCCATTTTTATATTACTTTATTTTTTCCATCATTTAATTCTGTCAACCTTCATTCTGCAAACTTGTATATATGATTATACTTCAGCAATAATAAAACTTACTATATGGATAAGATTAATCAGATGCATTCTATCAACAAAAACCCCAAAGATTCCATATTAAATATAATACTTTTATTCTATTCTCTACTCTCAAGCCTTACCCTTTGAACTATGGTAAAATTATTGACCAACAAATTGTTCTTTTTTTGTTGCTTATCCATTCTTACTATGCAAGGGTTTCTCATATAATTTGCTTTTATAAATAACAAACAAATAATCACAACTTCATTAATATTCCTTTTCATTGGACACAAAGTGAAGACCATAGAATACTGAATTCTTAATCAAATTGCATTTATAAAAAACTAATAAGATAATGCAAGAGTAAGCACTATCAAAGTCAGGAACATGCATATCAAGGTCATGAGGAAAGCCTTACTAAGTGACCACAGTGAGCAGCAATTTCATACTTACGGCATTATTCTCCTATTTAGGGAATTATTTATAACCAATCAAATGAAGACCTAGGGTTGTTTATAAGCAATTTTCTAGATAATTTTCAATAATTTCATTGACCTGTTATTAAATAAATCACCTACATACTCCTATTTTTCATACTTACCAAGTACCTCTCAGAGGAAACACTAACTAAAATGAGGTCATCTCCCACTCGGACTTTCTCCCCTTCTGATCGTTGCTTGGAGGCAGGGTGTATTGTCCACCAGCAAGCCTCACCTGCAGAATGATTGAAACATGAAACACAGAGAAGGAATTTTCATTGGTTTTATTTCCTAGTGACATAAAAATAAAAGTGAGAAAGAGAATAAGGCTGTAAAATCACTTCCATTAAAAGTAAATTGCTCCAGTCACACAAATTTCAGAAATGTAAATTAATCTCTTACACCATGAAAAATGTTTAGAAGACAAATTAGCTTCAGATGAGGCCCAATTAAATGAGATTATTTTCATAGAAAGCTACTATATACAAACATTCTTGAGGTAAGGACCAGGTAATATGGAAGGGACCAGATCAAATGCAGGGATGCACATGGGGAGGAGGTGGGGAAAGGAAACAAACAAAAAA